TCAATAACAAAAACATAAAGCGGGACCAAGTAAACCAAGTCCTAACCGATATAAGCTGGGAAGATATACTAAGCGACACAGACCCCAACTTATGCCTAGAACAGATTAACTCGGTGGCACTCGATGTATGCACAAGGCTTATTCCTCTAAGAAAAAGGAGGAGTAGATGTAAAATAGAAAGAGACAGGCGCTCCCTTTACAGGCGACGGAAAAGAATAACAGAGCGGCTAAAAGAGGTCAATATATCTGAAATGCGTAGGGAGACACTGGTCAGAGAAATAGCAAGCATCGAACTTAAGCTAAAAGAATCCTTTAGGAGTCAGGAATCGCGGGAAGAACTAAAAGCCATAAATGAAATCGAAAGAAACCCAAAGTATTTCTTCTCCTATGCCAAATCAAAATCGAGAACAACGTCCAGTATTGGGCCCCTACTTAAACAAGATGGGTCCTACACAGATGACAGCAAGGAAATGAGTGAGCTACTCAAGTCCCATTATGACTCAGTTTTTAGCAAGCCGCTAACCAGACTGAGTCGAAGATCAAAATGAATTTTTTATGAGCCACAAAATTTGATTAACACAAGCCTATCCGATGTTATCCTGACGCCAAATGACTTCGAACAGGCGATAAATGACATGCCCATGCACTCTGCCCCAGGGCCAGACTCATGGAACTCTGTGTTCATCAAGAACTGCAAGAAGCCCCTATCACGAGCCTTTTCCATCCTATGGAGAGGGAGCATGGACACGGGGGTCGTCCCACAGTTACTAAAAACAACAGACATAGCCCCACTCCACAAAGGGGGCAGTAAAGCAACAGCAAAGAACTACAGACCAATAGCACTAACATCCCATATCATAAAAATCTTTGAAAGGGTCCTAAGAAGCAAGATCACCACCCATCTAGAAACCCATCAGTTACACAACCCAGGGCAACATGGGTTTAGAACAGGTCGCTCCTGTCTGTCTCAACTATTGGATCACTACGACAAGGTCCTAAATGCACTAGAAGACAAAAAGAATGCAGATGTAATATATACAGACTTTGCAAAAGCCTTCGACAAGTGTGACCATGGCGTAATATGCGCACAAAATGCGTGCTAAAGGAATAACAGGAAAAGTCGGTCGATGGATCTATAATTTCCTCACTAACAGAACACAGAGAGTAGTCGTCAACAGAGTAAAGTCCGAGGCAGCTACGGTGAAAACTCTGTTCCACAAGGCACAGTACTCGCTCCCATCTTGTTCCTCATCCTCATATCCGACATAGACAAGGATGTCAGCCACAGCACCGTGTCTTCCTTTGCAGATGACACCCGAATCTGCATGACAGTGTCTTCCATTGCAGACACTGCAAGGCTCCAGGCGGACATCAACCAAATCTTTCAGTGGGCTGCAGAAAACAATATGAAGTTCAACGATGAGAAATTTCAATTACTCAGATATGGTAAACATGAGGAAATTAAATCTTCATCAGAGTACAAAACAAATTCTGGCCACAAAATAGAGCGAAACACCAACGTCAAAGACCTGGGAGTGATCATGTCGGAGGATCTCACCTTCAAGGACCATAACATTGTATCAATCGCATCTACTAGAAAAATGACAGATGGATAATGAGAACCTTCAAAACTAGGGAGGCCAAACCCATGATGACACTCTTCAGGTCACTTGTTCTATCTAGGCTGGAATATTGCTGCACACTAACAGCACCTTTCAAGGCAGGTGAAATTGCCGACCTAGAAAATGTACAGAGAACTTTCACGGCGCGCATAACGGAGATAAAACACCTCAATTACTGGGAGCGCTTGAGGTTCCTAAACCTGTATTCCCTGGAACGCAGAGGGAGAGATACATGATTATATACACCTGGAAAATCCTAGAGGGACTAGTACCGAACTTGCACACGAAAATCACTCACTACGAAAGCAAAAGACTTGGCAGACGATGCACCATCCCCCCAATGAAAAGCAGGGATGTCACTAGCACGTTAAGAGACCATACAATAAGTGTCAGGGGCCCGGAACTGTTCAACTGCCTCCCAGCACACATAAGGGGGATTACCAACAGACCCCTGGCAGTCTTCAGCGGGCACTGGACAAGCACCTAAAGTCAGTTCCTGATCAGCCGGGCTGTGGCTCGTCTTGGTTTGCGTGCAGGCCAGCAGCAACAGCCTTTTGATCGGGGCTCTGGTCCACCAGGAGGCCTGGTCACGGGCCCCCCGGGGCCGCGGGGGCGTTGACCCCCGGAAAACCCTCCCAGTAAACCCAGGTCTTAATATATATATAAAATATTAAATATATATATTTATAAATAATATATATATAAATATAAATATAATATAATATAATATAATAAAATTTATATTATAAAACCCAGTGTACTGTGTGTGAAAATAGATTTTTTTGCTAAAACTACTCCTTTTTGGTAAGCCCTCACCACTAGCACCCCGTGTGATGGGTCTAGCTCTTCTTCAGAGGTGTTAACGTTGTTTAAAAAGGAGGTGTAATAACAATTATATGTTGTTCAGTGAATGGGCTACTATTTATAAAAGGGAGGTTTAAGCTTTAGAAAAGATTCACTATTTTATTGATGTGCAAATAACATATTACCACTGTGATATATATCTTCCACCGTCAAGAACACTACTACAGTTACCACCGACGGTCGCCATTTTGTACAACCAACTTACAACCACAACAACCTCATAATTGTCCATACCACAACCCCATACCCCACTCAAAAAAACCCAAAACACAATTACTATAAACCCCATTTGACCATCATATCCAACTACCTCTGGGATAACCACCACAGCTGTCACAGCCCTACGGACTTTTCCAAAAAAAAATTTTTTTTTGTTTTAATTGTTAAAAAATAATGAATTTGAATTTGAAAAAAAGACGGAAAACAATGACATGAGTCAAGGACTTGTCAAAAAATTTAAAAATTTTGCCCGGGATTTGCTAGCAAAATTTCGCGGGGCAACACCCTAATACCACCGGAACTTAGAACCACCACTAAAATGTCACCTCCCCCCCCAGTCCCACAACCATTGTTTTTATTACATTTGGAGTGGAGCGCTAACCCGTAGGGGTCATCACCCGGGGAAAAAAAGCAAACAGGTTTTTGACCCAAGAAAGGGGAGGAGGTAGTTCCAATTCCTTTACGCGGACCTTTTTTTACTTATTCCCGTAGTAGAAGCAGCTACCCCTCATCTCTCCTGAGGATACCACAACTACTACTACACCCTCCACAAATGACAACTACCACAACCACAACTACCACACCCACAACTATCACCACCACCACAAGCACTGAAACAACAGAGGGCTCTTGACTGCATGCCTTTTTATTGGAGTCATCGATCTCCTGCAGCGAGGAGAGCAGTGCCTAGCCAGGAAGGCCCCCACTGTCACCAAAGCCTGCTTGATCCTACTCGCTCCACTAGGATCAAACAAGGATCATACGCAGTCCTATATTATCCTCCACATTCCTGTGTATCCCAAATTGTAACTCTATGGTCCTCAATTTTATTTTATTTCTATGCCTTATTTATTAGCCTAGACACACTTAATGATCTTACACAAGCATACTCTGTACTGTTATTTGAACGGTTAGAAATATACTATACCTACTGGCTGAATATCAATGCAGGCACAAGGTCGCCAGACGGTCATCAAAGAACTCGCCCAGCCTTCCAATATCAGTATTCCACTGTTTCTAAGACAATCAAATGGTTGACTGATAAACGTTCTGGATGTGTTCCCCGTTTTCTGTTCGCACCTCTAGAGTTTTTATCGCTCTTAATGTGTTATTTCATTTATCGCCGTTGTAATGAGTTACAATTCATTAATTTTTATTGATAGAGGACAATATAACCTAATTAAATCTACACTAACCCAAACTAAGCTTAAAAGCAAAAATCGATAATAAAAATTCACAATACTTTGGCTGGAACAATTCACAAATAAACCTTTTATTAGGGTGCCTTGGTGAAGGCGAAGATCTATTCATCCAAAGAATTGGGAATCATCCTCCTCTTCCTCAGTTGAAGCTTGATTACCCACACTTTTCTTTCCACTCCATCGTCTTAGCTCTTGGGTGTCCAGACGACGGGCTTAGGCATCCAACAGGCGTGTGTGACCGTGTTAGATAGGAGTGGAGGCAAGTGGTGTTTATGGTTTCACGCGCTGTCGTAGTGTCACCAGGGTAACATTTATGAAGGAATTCAGGAAAACCGGTTAGCCGGACTTGAGTTCTGGAGGTGGGAGATACAGTGGCTGCACTCTGAAGGAGAGGTAGGGATATTGGAGTCCGGAGGGGCATCTGAGATGTAGTATTGACGTGCCCCTGGCAAAACGATGATAGAGTGAGTGATGGTGAAAGTGTTTCTTTTTTTTCGGATCCTCCCTACCTCGGTGGGAGACTGCCGGTGCTAAAAATTATTATTATTGGTGTTCTTATTATTATTATATACTCAGCGAAGGTTTAAAAAATGCACGAGTTCCTTAAGATTAAATTTATACCTAGTGTTTTAATCTTCTGGGAGACATTTACAAGGTTTTTACTGCGTAATGCGTCCAACAGATTTTTTTTCAGTAATGTCATTTGTTTCTGGGTTAAAAATATTTTCTTTCTGTTTCAAAGAATGATGTACAAAAGTTTTGTACATCGTTGCCTCCGCAGGAAAAAATTAATAATCATTGGCATAAAAGCCACCTTATGCAGTATATTACATTCGTTGGGCATACCCAGAGGTAAATTCATCCAGGCGTCTGTAATTTAGTGGCGATCTCGTCATTGTCTTCACTTCTTCAGAAGACTACTAAAGTAGGCCTCAGTTGTAAGCCGAAATATACAAAACTAAAAACTGTTGTTTCCCATTTATTTTTTGTGGATTTGTTTGTGCCACTGATTAGTGCTTATTACACACACACACACACACACATATGTATATATATAATCAATACTGTATTAATAATTAATTTCTTACCACAGCCCTGTACCAAGGGACATCTCACCCTCCCCGGTGCAGATAAGACATGAGAGTGGATGAGTGTCGTGACCATACTGAAACTTTCTTAAAACTAAGAGTGAGAAATCAGGAATAAAGAGTGAACCGGTTAAGAGTGACGTAAAGACACAGGAAGAGAACCGGTGTGTGTATCTTTCAATAACAGTTTGTGCAGAGGAAATGAACAGTCTAGAGGCTCGCTTTAATCTTATTTAAGTATATACATGGAGATTTCAAAGAAAATTTGCATGGTCGAGTAAGAAATGGAAAGTTTTATATTTTGGTTTATTACGTTCTTAATAACAAAATTAACCAAGAAAGCATAAACATATGTATAACAAAAGACCAAGTAAAAGGTCAAAAAAATATTTAATGTAGAAGCAGATGCCTCATCATCAAGGCTGTCTTCTAAGTTAAGAAATCCCCTTACTAAGTTAAAATGGAGAGACCTAATTAAGCAAGTCAGGATTGTATTTCAGACAAGTGATTCAAGGAAATCTGAGGTAAACTAGAAAGTACCTAAAATTGGTCATTGACGTGACCGCTCCAGTGCCTAAGTATATATTGGAAAAAGTGTCCTAATCAATAACAAGAGCCTCAGCTAACGGTTCGTTGGGAAATGCCTGAGGAAGAGCTCTGCTTGGAAGTATCTAAGCCATCTGTAGGCTTGGACGTGGAGAAGCCAGTACCAGGCTTGGAAGAATCAGTCGTAGGCTAGGAACAGCACGGTGTGATGGTGCCTTCGTCTCACTATTATCACTGGCCTCGTCTACGTCATCATATGGACACAACCTGCTGCTGCAGTTGATGTTTGATGATCTTTCTTGTGTGTGTACCCTATCCCTACTTATACCGCACTATTTGATCTTTCCTTTCACTTTGTAACATTAAGGTTTTTCACCTCGTCTTGCCAGCCGTCCCTGCACTCATTACATATTTTACAAATTCACTCAACGTCTTTCGCAATCACTACACTCTTTGACAGTCTTAACACCTAGACAATCAAGTCAAGGGGATAATTCTGAGTGGGCTTCCATCACAAGCACAAACATATCGAAATCCTTCCCATGGCGACCCAAGATTCATTATTTGCTCATAACACTCCCTTCCTTACCCGTCCTAACACAAAGTATACAATTTAAAATCTCAAATGTTTAAGATATTCACACATTCTCTTGTTAATGTTCTGTGAGGTCATTCACCTGCTTACTCAACCTCGCACTCATTTGCACTGTACAAAATTTTATTCTCAGTTCACTCTGCATTCAGTACCCTTGTTCCTATTTTTTGTTCTACTATTCATTATATACCGTTATTTCTTTTAGTACCTATTGCTGCATGTTTATCGTTTTTTGCATGATATTCATTTCCAGCTGTCGTAGTTTAAATTAATTATTTTAATTTCCCTTCACAAGTTTTGTTAATTGGTTTTTGCCTATTAGCTGGTCAGCAAGATCCCAGCTACTGTTGCAAAATTATTAAAAGTACTGTGCTCCACCACATGCCCTCGTGTGTAATTGGAAGTACACAGTACATCCAACAATAGAACAAGAACTATCGAAAAAACAGCAGCCAGCGAACTCAGCAGGAACATCAAGAATAAAGTGGCATCGACGGGGGCAGTAGCATCACCGCCATCATCAATAGAAGCTTGGGTATCATCTTTGAGGATCAGGTGGCAGTGGTTGTGGTGGTGGTGCGAGGGTGATGGTGCGAGAGGTGTCACTGAGGCTGATCCTGGCGGTGCTAGCGTTGCCCTCCCTTATATGCTATCTCCTGCTCATTGATACCACCACCGTCCGATACCACCCACTACCAACAGGTAAGAATCTCCTTACCTTCAGGTAAACTATATCATGCTAGAATCAGTACTGAGAGGTAAATTTCTGTTATGTTTTTACCATGATATGTATCTCTTAACTTATATATAGCATGTTTAATATACAGACCCTTGTCGCAGTTTAATGTCCAATTGCAAGCGTGGATATGAATATAGCTTCGAGCGCAAGCTTGCAATGCTTTCAAGCTGATACTGTATTTCGACAGGTCATCTAATCTCAAGACATTCATGCAAGATAACCATCCTATAACTTTGAGCCATTCTGGGGAATTTTAGTGGTATTATAATGATTGTATTAATTTATTAATGCGAGTAGTTCCGGGGATGGAAGGGATGGAGTAACTTTGATGGTGGAACTCTCCATCCTTATTATGGAGCTCTTGATTGAGTTGGTCTAGTCACCGCTCTATAGCTGCTTTATCAACGACAGGATATACGTAGGTTCGAATCCAGGCGGCAGTAGCGTTGATTGTTTTGGCCTACATATGTTAAATTTAGTTTAAATAATTTTCATGTTGAATTTCACTGTCTGAAAGGGTTATTATATGCGATATCAACATTTTTAACAACCAAGATACACAAAAATGTATGTAATGAGGTCGAATACAGCAATACGGATTAGAAATCCCTTTTCAGTGGAAGTGCCTTGATCTCAGTGAAGAGCTCTTGATCCAAGAAACAGGAACAGCCATTCCCTTTCTTAGAGTCAGATCTGGTTGACTTCCATTTCTCAGGCGCTGTATAACCTCTACGGGTTTAGGTCTTCCCCTGAATACAATAATAATTAAAAGACTAGTGGGAATGTGTCTTTCTTGCTCGTTTCGTTTAGGTCCCATGGAACCGTTGTCAATATATCGACATTATAATAAATTTCGACTCAGAAATTGCTAGTTAGCACAAACTTATACCTATAATTTTCCCTTTTCCTCATATTTAGTAGAATCTTTACGTGATTTACAACCGGGGCATAAATTTGTGTGTACGGGTTTGTTGAAAGTAAGATTTATGTTTAAGTTCATGTCTAATGTCATAATTTATTGTTGTTCATCCTACAGTAATGAGACTTGGGTGATGTGACCTGGGATTATCGGCTTTTTGCATAGGTTAAAACTTATTATTTTTTTTACTTATTGATTACTGAAAATTCAACATAGCTTAACTTCACTAAATGTCCTTCGCCACCCCGTGACTCGCCTCTCTTGACCTCCTGATAACCTACCCCAAGTCCCCTCTCCCCCGTTCCTGACCCCCAGATCGATCGACCTCACAAGGTATCTTGGCAAGACATTCCCCTACTGCTGAATCTGGCTTTCGTGGTGTAGCATATAATAAGATACCCAACTCCACCTTCTCATCCTCTAATTTATATTATTTTCCGTCCGTTGATATCGCCAGTGGCGATATCAATGGACTGAAATGTGCTAGCTACTATAGCGATATGTTCACTCGCAGGATGACCGGTGGTGTAGTCCAATAAACTTGTATCTCGTATTCAGTTTATTACTACTATAACTTTCCTAGCTAACAGAATAGTGGGGTCCAGACCCTGGACCTATTGTGTGCCTCTAATATTCTGACTACCATTTACTGGATGGGTTTGGGGCGCATAATATAACTATCAAACTAACTTATGTCGCCCCCGACGTAGACACCTGAAACTTCACGAAAGGGTCTCGCCTGCTCCACATGTCCTGGCTCGCATATCCAGTCTGCAGTGACCTCCGTATTGAATCTGCAACTTTTCTCCTCGCTTTCTTTCTATAAATAGCCTAAGATGTGACAAACTATCTGTCACTGGATGGGCCGATAAGCCAGTTGAAGTCTTCGGTCTCATGACCCAAAGTTACATTGAGCGGGTCGTCATATGGATAGTCAGTGAATAAACAGAAAGATGGACAGGAGGCTTGAACCACTGGGCCTGTCAGTTTCTGAACCACAGTTCAGAATAGTGTTTTCACTTGACGTCATTTAACCAAAAGTTGGTCATATTGAAGATAATGATTTTTGTTTCTGGTAGTAGATACCTCACGGCACAGTGAGTACAACTAGGTGAATACCACACCTTTTTATTTTATGAAATACTTCAACAATTTAAAACAAAATCCCAGGTGATCATGGTAGCTGACGCGCCTGTTCTTTGAATTATATGCTCAGCTTATCAGAATACACCATATATTTTTTCTAAAGAGTTTATGTGCGTTATTTTCTGTACGATCTAAGCAAGAGACCAGAGTTACATATTATTCTAGATTAGGCTACTTTACTAAGTTTATCCACTCTTACGCAAACTTAACTGCTAATAACCAAATCGGCGGTAAGGGAAGAAAAAAACTTGAGGCAGTGGAGACATTGTAGTTAAAAACCAGATGCTTATAATTGTTGACGGTGGAAGATGGGTCGTAGTCAGACAACTTTTCTTGGCGGAACTCTTCCTCGCCAGAAATATCAAGATATGGGATCTGAAGGTCACCGAACTGAAACCTAGTCTAAAATCAATTTGAGGCTCTGCACCCCTGCTCCCACATGAAGACTATGATTATTATTATTATAATCATGGGAAGCGCTAAACCTGTAGGATTATACAGCGCCTGTGTGAGGGGGGGATGGAAGGTATTCAGGCTTAATACAAGGAGCTGGAGCACAGATAAATGTCCCTAGATCAAGAGCCCCTCACCAGCATCAAGGAACCTCCCTTGAGGGGTCATGAAGACTAGATGTGATTCAGTCACTGCCATCTGAAGTTTCCCCATATCTCCTATGCTTTGAGCCCTCTACTTCAATGCAGGCAATAGGAATAGTATAGAGTATATATAAAATAGTTCTAATCATAACCAATTGTTTTTAAAGGGGCAGACCGGTAAGCCAGCGGAAGGCCTCGGTCAAATGGCTAAAAGCTCCAACTACGGGTCATCATATAACTAAGACCCGCGTCAGGAAACACTTGTCTTGTTTCTTGACAAACCTCACCTAACCTAACCTAGTATAGAGTGTGGCGCTAGTTTCTAACAGTTAAAAATTATCATTGAAAATTTGAACGTCATCAGAAGACGCATTCACAATTTATCACATGGAAACTAATATCCAATTTCTTTAATAAAAATTGAAAATTGGCACCTGCACAAGCCAAAACCAATCTGAATCATCAGGTACCGATTTTGAAATTAACAGGAAGAAGCATTCTGTAGTTATCACACTGAAACCAATATCCCAAAATATACCAGCACTAAGTATGAAGCACTCAGTTAGTTTAATATGTTTATTATGCACCCCATACCCATCCTGTGGGCGGTAGTCAAAAGATTACAGAGGTACATAATTGGTCCAGGGACTGGACTCCAAAGTTTTGATAGCTGAGCAAGTTACAGAGGTAATGAACTCACAATTTACAAAGGTAATGAACTCTCAGAAGCTGCATTTTCATGTTATTGGCGTTGAAGGTTTGAAGCCGATTGGATGAGGCATTAACAAATTACTGCGTTCTTAAGTTATAAATGAAAACCTTGGTGGAAGAAAAACCTTTCGGGCAACCACTTAAAAATATCTCATCGAGGACAATAAATAATGCCTGATGAATTAGTATTGTATTTAGGGCAGCTCACTGCAACCAGCCCATGTATTAGGCTATTTCAGTGCCTTCCATGTTATAATAATGGCAGGCATCCTATTACTCCAGTTCACCTAGCAGTAAAGGTCACATCCCTGCAAATCCTCCTTACCCAGCAACTTATGTCTCTGTCTTGAACTATTATATTCAACTTATTTACCATTACAAATAAATCTTGGCCTTCAAGAAGGATGCCTTGATTTTGGTGAAGAATTTATTTTTTATGGATCCCTTTATTAGCCAATTTAAAGTTCAATCAATCAAATATTCAACCTTGGTGTATGCATCCACTCTATTACAATTGTAACGAAGCGATAAATCCGTAAGGGTCATGCAGTGCTTGGAGAATGAGACAGTTAGATTTGATCTGATCTTTCTCGGATCAGACCTAGCTAATAAATATTCACATTTAAAGGTATCCATGAACATAAATTCTTCACTCAGGATAAATAGACAGAAGTTATTATAAAAGATTTTGTTGGTACAGTTTAGAATTCCACTCAGCCCAAAATGGAACCAAAAGTTATAGGAACGGTTTATAGTAGAAATTTGACTACTATACAAGGTCAATCAAATTAATTTTTAAAGGGATGCAATGGTAAGCCAGTGGAAGGCCTCGGTCAGATGACCAAAAGCTCCAGCTGCGGGTCATCACATGAATAAGGCCCGTGTCAGGAAACACTTGTCCTGTTTCCTGACGAATCTTACCTATAACCTAACCTTGACTACTGGTCATCATCTCAGCTTGACGAGGAGATTCTTAGTCACTGATAAAGCACAGCTCCAGGCCGCTGCATCATTAATACAGGTGATAATGATAATATAATATGGAATTACACATTATCCTGTCAGCATGTTACTACTGTATGATATTTACTAATATAACTACTGTAGTTTATATAGTTCCCTCGCTTTATTACATAGTAGTGATCGCTCTCTTAACCACCTTCTTTTTATCTGGATTCATGGTAACTAACACTTATAAAAGTTCGGATACCAACTGTAGTTAACCGCAAAAAGGCCAGTTTTTGGGGGGGAAAATGAGTTAATGAGTAGGTTGACCTGTCTACTCTCTCTCGCCACACTGCCTGCCACGCAACACTGACTTCGTAGCCTGGTAGAGAGGGAGACTACTTCCCGGTAAAAGTAGGTCTTAGACAGGGATGTGTAATGTCACCATAAACAAACGAGTCGAGTCGAGTAATGTCACCATGGTTGTTTAATATATTTAGATGGGGTTGTAAAAGAAGTAAATGCTAGGGTGTTCGGGAGAGGGGTGGGATTAAATTATGGGGAATCAAATACAAAATGGGAATTGACACAGTTACTTTTTGCTGATGATACTGTGCTTATGGGAGATTCTAAAGAAAAATTGCAAAGGTTAGTGGATGAGTTTGGGAGTGTGTGTAAAGGTAGAAAGTTGAAAGTGAACATAGAAAAGAGTAAGGTGATTAGGGTATCAAATGATTTAGATAAAGAAAAATTGGATATCAAATTGGGGAGAAGGAGTATGGAAGAAGTGAATGTTTTCAGATATTTGGGAGTTGACGTGTCGGCAGATGGATTTATGAAGGATGAGGTTAATCATTGAATTGATGAAGGAAAAAAAGGTGAGTGGTGCATTGAGGTATATGTGGAGTCAAAAAACGTTATCTATGGAGGCAAAGAAGGGAATGTACGAAAGTATAGTAGTACCAACACTCTTATATGGGTGTGAAGCTTGGGTGATAAATGCAGCAGCGAGGAGACGGTTGGAGGCAGTGGAGATGTCCTGTTTAAGGGCAATGTGTGGTGTAAATATTATGCAGAAAATTCGCAGTGTGGAAATTAGGAGAAGGTGTGGAGTTAATAAAAGTATTAGTCAGAGGGCTGAAGAGGGGTTGTTGAGGTGGTTTGGTCATTTAGAGAGAATGGATCAAAGTAGAATGACAGGGAAAGCAGTTAAATCTGTAGGAGAAGGAAGGCGGGGTAGGGGTCGTCCTCAAAAAGGTTGGAAGGGGTAAGGGAGGTTTTGTGGGCGAGGGGCTTGGACTTCCAGCAGGCGTGCATGAGCATGTTCGATAGGAGTGAATGGAGACGAATGGTATTTGGGATCTGACGATCTGTTGGAGTGTGAGCAGGGTAATATTTAGTGAAGGGACTCAGGGAAACCGGTTATTTTTATATAGCCGGACTTGAGTCCTGGAAATGGGAAGTACAATGCCTGCACTTTAAAGGAGGGGTTCGGGATATTAGCAGTTTGGAGGGATATGTTGCGTATCTTTATACGTATATGCTTCTAAACTGTTGTGTTCTGAGCACCTCTGCAAAAACAGTGATTATGTGTGAGTGAAGTGAAAGTGTTGAATGATGATGAAAGTATTTTCTTTTTGGGGATTTTCTTTCTTTTTGGGTCACCCTGCCTCGGTGGGAGACGGCCGACTTGTTGAAAAAAAAGAAAATTGAAGACAAAATATACATCAATAAATACATATATATCTAACCCAAATTACTGTCTTAAAGATATATCTTAACGGGTAGCAGAGAGGGAGACAAATTACAGCAACTCTCGTTTTCCTCATGTCTTCAGTTCAAAGTAGATCAATAAAATATGTGCATTAGCTAAGTTTCTTTATTGATGAATCTATTGGGCTGAACACACCAAGGCTGGGACTGACCATCTTTGAAGTTTTGTTTTCAAGGACTGATCACCTCTTGCCCCTCATGGGTGTTCCTTGATGCTGGTGAGGGGCTTTTGATCTAGGGAATTAGATCTGTGCTCCAGTTCTCTGAATTAAGCCTGAATACCTTCCATCTCCCCCCCCCCAACATGTGCTGTATAATCCTATGGGTTTAGCACTCCCCCATGATTATAATAATAATGATCACCTCACATCTAGTGTGCAACACCAATTGAATTGGGGTATTTATACATGTGCTGAGGGTTATTATTAATCTTCGTAGAAATCAGTAAAGAAATATGTACATTTGTTTGTATATTGTTGCTGTTGGTAATGAAATTTTAGTTTTTTGCTCAAATACATCACTGTTAGGTATATATAAAAAATATAATACTGTACGTGCAATAAATATTCAGTGAAGCTAGCAAGAAAGTCAAGTAATAAAATACAGTATTTAGATATGCTTAACTTGAAATTCTCTTTAACAAATCCAGAATATCTGTAAAACCCTCATTGTAGTTAAGAGAGAGAGCACTATTTCTTTTCTAGTTTATAAAACATTTTATATAAGAATTTCATCACAAACATTGACAATTTACTGTATATATTAAAATGGAAAAAATTGAGGTGATAAGTTCCTTAACAGAGCACGCATCACAATCTCCTCCCACGGTTGGTTCCTGCCTTTCTTGTGGTCTCGACTTCGCTGTGGTGAGTGACGTTCCTGTAGAAGACCCAGAAGACTTTTGGTGGGCTGACTGGGATGAGGTTCAGAGGAGCAGACGGGCAGCTTTGCACTTCGCATGTTTCCATGTCAAGAATACTAAAGTCAGGTCGTTCACCAAGCTTCTAAGTGCCCGCAAATACCTCTACAACCTGCTCTTGGATGAAAGGCACAAAGCTATTTATTGTTATGTTCCCAAGGTAACTCAACTCAGGTTGCAGAACTCTTCTTATCTCCCTCTTTATTATTTTTTTTAACCCTGGCTGTCTCCTACCAAGATAGGGTGACCAGACAAAGAAAACACATTAACTGTCACTCATTTAATTACTGTCTTGCCAGAAGTATGCTGACATTACAGTTCAGATGACCTTCCAAACCTCAATATTCCCACCCCTCCTTCAGAGTGCAGGCACTGAAGTTCCCACCTCCAGGAGTCAAGACTCTAAGTCTGGCTAACTCGTTTCCCTGAATCCCTTCATAGATGTTACCTTGCTAACACTCAATCAGCACATCAGATAATAATAAACCAATTGCCTTCACTCCTCTCTAACACACTCATACAAGGATGTGAGTGTGTTGGATGTCCAAGCCCCTAGCACTCAAGCTCTCCTTTATCTACTTCATCCAACCTTTCCTGGGACAACCCCTACTCCCCGTTCCCTCCACTCCAAATTTATATATGCCCTCGTATCTTTCTCCATCCTCTAATTGTCCAGAGCACCTCAACAAATCTTCCTCAGCCCTCTGAGGAAGATTTCCAAATTCTCAATTTTTTTTTTTTTCTCAACAAGTCGGCCGTCTCCCACCGAGGCAGGGTGGCCCAAAAAAGAAAGAAAATCCCCAAAAAGAAAATACTTTCATCATCATTCAACACTTTCATCACACTCACACATTATCACTGTTTTTGCAGAGGTGCTCAGAATACAACAGTTTAGAAGCATATACGTTTAAAGATACACAACATATCCCTCCAAACTGCCAATATATACATAATATTCACACCACGTATTACCATCAAACACGACATCTCTACTGCCTCTATGCTGCAACATTCAAAGCCCATGGTTCACACTGATACAAAAGTGTTGTATTAATTATTTTCTCGCTTGGTTCATAATTTCCTAAACACTCGCTTAGCACCTCCCAAAATGTCTCTCTCCTCAACACTCCCCACTTCCCTGAGCACATAAATGCTTACTGTTACCAACTTCTCACATCCCACCCTTATTTTAATCCACATAATTCTTGAATTTATGCACTTCTATGCCCTTTTTACTTCCTTAGTTCCGATTCTCTCAGATTTGCCAGACCTAATATCATTTACACTTCCTACTGAAATTCCTCTACCCCCCTTTTACCAATTAAAGAAACTTTCTTTGTGTATGTATTTTTGCTGCTACCTTTCTGAAACAGACATCACTAGTTTGCAATAAAATGATACAGTACTGTAATTTATACTTAGAATAAATGCTGCCTTAAAAAGTATAATGGAAGATGTAGGTATACAGAAGTTGCTTATATAGAGCAAGCAAACTCCTTCATATGTTAAAATAGAAGATAAAAGTTTAAGGTAAGGAATGTAGAATAAATACTGTCATTCATATTAGTACAGTACTATAGTGCACAAGTAGTTTTAAAATACTGTACCTGGTTGGCTTATCAATACAAGGGTCATTGACTGATTTTAAAAATACTAAAATATAATATTCAAGAAAATTGTGTATTTTGTCTATTTTTTCAAACAGCCCATTTTAGCTGATATATATATATATATATATATATATACACTGTACTGTATTGGAATAATGTACCTGGTGGTAGTATAGCATCAGGGACTGATGTATGATACAGCATGTCAACAGTACTATATTTTAAAACTCCATCATTATGTTTGTTTCAGGTTGCCTGCACAAACTGGAAGCGAATGATGATGATCTTGTCAGGACGGACCAACAAAACCAACCCACTCAACATTAGTTCGCATGTTCCACATGAAGAGGGTGTTTTAACCAGGCTGTCAGGAACACGCATGAAGGTAATTGTTGATACAGATAACACAAGACTCCTCAAGTCCTGTCCTTACAAGTACCTCTAGGCTATGCTTCTTTAGAGGGTTAACTGCCCTGCAGGAAATTACTGTCTCCATGCACAAACTAGAACAAACTTGTATTTGTGGAGTCTATCCTAACTAGAAACCCCTTGATTCTACCCAGCCTAATCAAAGTTTCTAATGACTTCTCTCTCAAAGATGCCACATGCACAGAAGAAATGGTTCCTGCAAGCAGTTCAATGTATTAGTATCCTCAGCCTACACCTTGAGGGTCCCTGAATTTATTGGGGTTTCCCTAACTGATCTCTGTGCATACAAAGAGATACTAGTTTTGGGCCTAATATTTAAAGGATAGTTACTCAGCAGTCTTGACTGCTAGGTACCTTTGTGTGGGCCTCAGCCTGCCTTAACCGCAGCTAACTATTCTTGTGTTTCACCCAGTAATTGGTGGCCACCGACATGGAAAAAATACTTGAATGAGTCACAAACAAGATCTGACACAGATTTTTATCCACAGTCTGTCGGGAAGGCCTCTGTCGTTCTTAGCTGGGTGCCAGACAATATTTTGTAAGCATCGTGGGATACTAAGCTGAGAGCTCCTATAAATTATCACCATGGAAGCTAATGCCAGAAGAGCAAGGCAGGAGGGCACTGCAAGCCTCTAGTTCTCACTTGTACAAAAAGATTCTAGTTACCAAAAAATACCTAATCTCATTACCTATCATAACATAATATTAATGTCTAAGGCTACATTATTAATTCATATAGTATTATTAACTAACAAATCAAGCCTTCCTAAATCATTCTTAAGGCCTACATCTATCAATTAGTATATCATTATGACAATCCTCTTTGTAGTCTGACCTTGAGGTGTTTGTAAGTGGGCTGTAAGGGTGAGATACACTCTTGCCATTACTATGACCCTAAAATATTTACATACGAACCCGGCGGTGGAATTTTTTGGTTTGAATAAATTTCCACTGTAATGACTGTTTGACACTTATGAATATACTCTGAGTGAAATACCTTCTGCTGAATTTTGCACAAGAGTATATGATGAAATCATTATTTAATCCACATATTTTGATAATGTAATTTGCTTCTGTAATATATTAGGTCAATATATAACCTGGTTTGAATTAAGCTCAGTCATTTCCTACCCAAAGCATTTATTTTAGAAAATTTGTTAAAAAAGAAACTATGTAGTAATAAAGAACTAAAACCAGTGTGAGTAATACATGTATATGAATTTATTATGGGGTCATACAGCACTACCTTTCTTGCATAGCATTTCTGCTTAGTCATACACATGTGATTTCAAAGAGTATTGTATTTATAGCATCATTTGTAATTAGTAACATTAGTTTGGGAGAATGTGTTGCTGGGCAAACCCATTGTTTGCAAAAGTGTTAAGTGCAGTATATTTTTTATTTGGAGTAAATTAACCTTGGATTCCTGGGATTTGAGAGCTTGTTTAAGAATAGGTCATATACATAATAAAGTTGGTAGAATTACTGACAATATGTAAAGTAAAAGGACACAAGTGCAACTAATGTGACAACGTTTTGCTCTCCAGGAGCTTGACAAAGCTCCTGGAGAGCGAAATGTTGCCACAATAAAAATGTCACATTAGTTGCACTTGTGTCCTTTTACTTTACAGGTCATACATGGTTGACCCCTGGGTCACTTGTGAAATGTGGCCCATACACCAAACCTGTCATAATTTTGAGCATATTGTGGAGTGTCTTAACTGTTTTGTTCATCAAAGACTTCCCTTTTTTTCAATTTCCTCTTGATAGTATCTTGATGCAAAAAAACATTAATGCAAGTTTTGTTTTTTGTGCATGCATTAAAATAAGGAATTTATACCACAGATCAAATATGCCTACTGTTAGTGGGAATCTGACTGTCTCTTCTCCAGTTTGCACTGTATGTCCCACTCCAGTGCTGAAATTTTAGTCGGCAAATTAATTAAATAATAAAATACCACTCACAAATAAGTATTTTCTCTTATTAACAGATTTGTGTAAAACATATTTGTTGTATATTATTTAAGTCCAATTTATATAATGTCTCAGTTTTAATGTACAGTATGTCCATTTTCTGTTTACAGTCTTCACATCTAAACTACAAGCTGAGAACCTACACAAAGTTTCTCTTTGTACGGCATCCAATGGAGCGATTAGTGTCTGCTTATAGAAATAAGTTGGTTATAAACTCCACCTCTGCTGCAGATTTCAAGAGAAGGTATGGTGTGACAATCATGAGGAAATATCGTAAGGGAGTAAACGCCCTAAATGTCACTAAAAATGGTCACGGTGTAACATTTGCAGAATTTGTATCCTATTTAATAGATACACGGCAGGATAGTTTTCAGAGTTTAAATGAGCACTGGGCACCGTACGTTGATCTGTGTCATCCTTGTACTATTAGATATAACATCATTGGTAAGTATGAAACACTGGAGGAAGATTCCGAGTACATCTTGAGGAAAATTGGCGCTCCTCGAGATTTACACTTCCCGCCTGTAGTAGCATCACGCACTGCATCCTTAGTGGCTCAGCATATGGCTTCCCTCACACGCGAACTCAGTCAGAAACTCTATGAACTATATAAACACGACTTCAAGCTCTTTGAGTACGATTATTCAAACTTTTAACATTAGATTGTTGAGTTGTCAAAAATCCCATGCAATGAAGATGAAATTTTAGACATAGTTTCCTTAATACTGTTGTTGATAATATTGTTATTGGTTGTGGATGATTGGAAACAGCATTTTATAAATGTAAAACTTAAAGTGATATTTCTCTTCGATAATAATAACATATACATATTTATACAGTATTTTTAAAGATCAGTTGTTTTTAAATAAGCAAAGCAAATGTAAAATTTAATGTCTCACTCATTAGAGTAAATTTGCTGGCATGATAAAATCAAAATATCTAGTGAAGTGGCATTGATTTCATCTCATTAGAAAAAATATCCAATGTTACCTGGTACAGTATTAAAATAAGATTAACCCTTAAATGGTCCAAACGTATATATACGTTTTTTCAACATTTGAAAGTATGTAAAAAAATGTAGATCTTCTTTCTTGTTTTACATTTAAAAATGTGCAAAAAAAACTTTTATCTACATTTTTTTTTTATTTTTGAAAATATGTAAAAAAAACGTAGATCTACTTTTGGAGCACTACGGATTTGAACGTCGATTTGTTTGGACCGTTTAAGGGTTAAAGGAGTTAGAGAAATTGTGAGACTATTCACTCCTAACAATTCTTTCTTTTGAAGAGGCATCTGAGATTGACAATCACATCACAACAGGCAGTGCACTATTTCAGGACTGAATGCTGCGATTATTAAAATTGTTACATCATCCATTATATAGCACATTGTTCAGTAATGTCTGATAAGCATGAAAGTAAAGTGAGACCACATTGTCTGAACTTGTCTGTTGCTGGGAATTTACAGAGATTTTTTTCAGTTTTGGTAGCTAAATTAGATTTTATTTGTGTTGTAAAGAACAGGTGGCAATAATAAATTTTTAATAAGTGATATAAAAATCCATAACCAGTTATCACATATTCTCGGTCCTATCTTAAGAGGGAAAGGGGAATATTTTCAGTTAAATTTTTTAACCATGACTTTTTCCATAATGTTGAGCTGTAAGTATGTAAAGTAGTAATATGAATATTAATACAGTCCACAGAAGATGTATAAAATTGTGGCATTTATTTTTTTCTACTTTTCTCAAAATCTGAATACATACATTAACATCAGATAATAATCAAAGATATGAAATTCTGCTGTAGTACTTCATATTGAAATGCCTAAGCCTTTCTTGATTACAGAATTCTGTATTCTATTTTAAGTCTTATAAATTTACCTAGAAAATAGGAAAGTGTCATTCTGTTCAAACCTTAGGAAAGAACAAATAATAAATAGAAAATTGGGTAAAATAATACAGAATGAATTAATATTGCTGTACCTGTCCAAAAAGCTATGTAACCTGACTCAACATTTTCAACTCGCCTCAGTGACAACACTTACTATAGTAGTCCTGCATTTCATTAACAACTGATGCATTGTAAGATTAGTTATATTTACTGGACACTCAAAGAATAACTTGTGATGGTGATCTCCTTATATTTGTAAATTAGAGCAAATGAAAGATCAAACTACAGTACCATGTAACTTGGAATTTATTCTAGCAGGTGGATGAACAAGGAAAGTAGCTTATCATTATGAATATTAATCATACTGAAATATCATAATCCTTGCTGTAATATGTCAATTATCTCTACAGAGAATAGTTTGAAACCCTCACAGACATGTATATTCCTTTCTATATTAGGCACACTATTATTCATGAAGATATGATTTCTAAAATGAGAGGGGATTTTTGAGCTGTATTGAAGGATAAAACAAGTGTTAGATGTCAGATTTTCAATTTGCAAATAAAATCAGTAATGCAACCTGGTTGATACTGTACAACATTTGATTTTTATCACAAGGAATGGAATATTTCTCGTGATATATGACCCACTCAGTGGAGCTTTTGGTCATTTGATTGAGACCTCATGGCTTGCCAGTGAATCAACTTTTGAGATATCAGATATTGATAGAATTTGCTTATGTATCCAATTCTAACTCAGTTTTAATGATATCTGATGCTGATTCAATGTATTTTGCCTGCTGTGATACTGTCTTTGTGCTGTAAAATTTTTTGGTAAATTTTTTAATTTTTACTCAGACCTAAGAATTTGTGAAATTAATCAGATATACAGTAGTTCAGCTAAACATCAGATTGTTTAGAAGTTTTGATATTTTTATTATATGTCCCATACCCATTTTGTGGGTAGTAACCAAACTACATTACATCTACTGTTCGTGTAGAGCCCTACAGCCTGGTGTCTGAAGGAAATATGGGCCAAATCTGGGCAGAATAGAAAATGAGACAAGCATTCCTAAACTTGAAGGTAGACCTGCTTAATTCCTGGTAGAGTCAGTAACTGGCCTCCTCTCATGGCCACAAAAAATATCCATTGAGCTGCAAGATAATGCTGACATGTGGCATTCTAACCATTGGTGGAACAAGAAGACAAGAAAGCATAAGGACAAATGTCCCAAAATAATTAGGGAGAATTTGTTACCGATGCATAGGGCAGAGCAAAATATCAAGGTTGGAGTCAATCTGTTGTTTGGGTGAATTACTTTAATATCCATTTTAACTGTAAAACTCTGTAATAAGTGCATCTGCATTTTCCTATTAATATGTAATTTATGCATATAAATACTGTACTTGGTAACTGGAAAATATAATTATATGAGGATTTAAATGAAATAGAAACTTGTATTGTTTTTAAGAATTGTTCATATATTTATAAAAAAGAATTGAAAAGATGTTGCTAAGATAACACATTTGTTGACCCATAGTGGTACAAAACACACATACGGGTTCAGAATATTTGTACTTTTATGTAAAATTTTGGTGTACTGTCGTAATCATGTGTGCCAGTAAATTATGGCTATGCTTGTTCTTTCTCATAAGAACTTGCATTTTAATAACTTACCTGTAAGTGGTGTTGCATGATTTTCAGAAGCTATCTTACCTATTAAAAGTTCTTTATTAACAACATAAGCATATGGTCCTATAATCTTCCAGTAGATGCACATAAAAATTCATTACTTTATTTGAGCCCTTGATAAGACTATCTTTCACTAATGCTGTGTAACTCTTGAGTATCGTAAAAATAACCGTAGTTAATATACAGTGACTACATAAATTATAAATTGGTTATCATGACACCTTCATTCATAATATTTTCTTTAGTCAATACATTGTAGAATGCCAATGATGGTATCACTTATTGTGGTGCTGCGATACTGGTGAATCTCATCAACACAAAGATTTTTCCATGTGTAGCACAGAAAATTGCTAATTCCAAGGCAGCTTAGATTATTATTATAATCAAAAAGAAGCGCTAAGCCACAAGGGCTATACAGCAAGGCAGCTTAGAAATTTTCCCATTCATTACATCTTATCTTAAGAGTTCATATAGTACTGCTCGTTAACAAGGTTATTAATATATTAATACTCCCATTTCTTCTCTCTTTCAATTTTTGGTAAACTCATTTTTATCTGTTTTTGGCTTTCATGTCTTCTATCAGTCATAGTAATCAATGTAAGAAATTTACATTAGATATTCACAACTGTATGATTGTATTGATCCAGAGTATCATCACAATCTCAGGCCTGACATCTCATTTAGTGATTATTTCACAAGACAGGTTTTCCATACAGTAACCCAGTGCTGTTTTTTTAAATCTGCTTTGTTCCTCATGGCCACTACAGTAGCATATTAAGTGTTTAGTATAATTTAGGGCTTCCTTGCATTTAAGAGTACTGTACAATATATTTTCAAGGTTTTCCCTCATAATCTTCATAACTGGTGATTCCTTGGAAAGTCTGATGTCAATATTCCTTAAAAACCACGACTGAATTCTTCATAGCCAAATAACTTCCAATGGATTTTTCTGAAATCAGAGATTAAGCACGTGTTCCATATGTGAAAAGAATTGAAGTTTGCATATTTTCTGGTTGACAGTGCACTCTGTCAACAATAAAACCCTATATTTAGAAAAAAAACATTAACTACATTTTTACAGTGCTTTATATAATGCATTAGAAACTGGAACCTGTTTCATTTTGGCAACTAAATTCAGTATATGGTCACATTTTTATTATATATTTTGACTGATGTTTATCAATGCATTATTTTCCTGCTAATTCATTTTTTTCTGAGCTCTTGGTAAGGGAAGCTTTTTCTTGTTTACTTTCACTTTGTTTTTGTAATTTTCCTAGATGATAAATTATTATTGCAAGCAAAGACAGAAACATACCACACATCTTACTTTGCTTTCATTTTTTAAATACATCAGCCATCTCTCACAAAGGTAGGGTAACCCAAAAATAAACACTTTCACTATTGTTCATTCAATCACTGTTTTACCAGACGAGTGTCAGCATCACAGCTCAGATAACCTTCTGAAGTGCAACATCCCTATCCTTTTTTCAGAGTTCAGGCACTATACTTCCCACCTTCAGGACTGAAGTCTGGCTAATTGATATTCCCTGAATGCCTTCATAAATGTTACTTTGCTCACACTCCAACCACACATCAAATGATAAAAACCACTTGCCTCTACTCAATATTGTCTAACACTCTCATACAAGCCTGCTGGATGTCCAAGCACTTAGCACTCAGAGCCTCCTTACCCCTGCCTTTCAGCCCTTCCTGGGATGACCCGTGCTCCTCCTTCCCTCTATCCCATTTTCATTGATATTTTCAAGGGCACTTATTGTTTAATTGTCAGTGTGATGTATAACCATTAAAATTTTCAAAATTTTATATGCAGTAAATTTTATATGCAGTAAAATTTTAGTTGCTGGTGTTCAGTTGCTATTAAAAACCATTGAGTAAATGCTGGCAATATGAACAATGTAAATAAATGGTAAATAAATGAAAAATACAGTAAAGTAAATAGTAACAGAGCTAGGTATGTCCAAGTCAAATTTTTAAAAGTGTTGTAAATAAACTAGCAAGTTGGAATACCAAAGGTTATATAATGATAATAAAACACAGTTGTAGCCAGAATTAGCTATGAGATACTATAGCTATAAAAATCTCACAGCTTCCATTTCATGTACTATATAAAGGAAAAATCTTAAAAAATGAAAACAAAAGGCTAAAATAATATGCAATAATGTAATCCATTAAGCTGGTTCGGAATACTTGCAATGCCATTTTATTTTTTTTTTTAAAAAGGAAAGATTGTTGAAGTTAATGGTGCTTGTTATTTGTTACACCTACATGCAGATTAATACTATTAACAATGATGGCAATCATGAAATAATAAAAATTGATAAATTAACGATACTACAATAACAGTAATACCTATTTGAGAATATTAGAATAAAGCAGAGATAATACAGGTATGAGTATTTCATTGAGAATCTTTGAAAAAATAATAGTTACTACAGGAATATCTTTAATTAAGTTGTATTTAGGACTTTTCTTTTGTTGCATCTGTTAATTATTCACTGAGGGAACTGAATATTTGTGTGTGTATACACATGCTGCATGCCTCCGTACATACATGCTTTCTCATGTGCATTGTTGTACTTTGTCCAGTGTTACCCAGTAATCATATTTGCCATTGATATTTTCCTAACAAAGAAATACTCAATTTAGTGATACACATATCATTGTTTAACCTTTTAAACTTTATCATGAGGGCATTATATGCATACCCTTGTCTTATATTTTTGTAATCCTCATTTTTACATGACATTCACTTTATTTTAGGGATGTGTATGTGGGTTTTTAAAATCTGCGATTTACTATTTTTGTCGTAAAATTGCCACTGGTTCTGGTGTATTAACATGTCATCGAGTTTCAAACATATTCAATATTTAGAACAAAATATTTATTTACTAAGAAATCTTATGGAAATCAAGAGAGCATTTGATATTCATAATGCATATGGACAGTGGCTCAACAATAAGTAAGCCAAAAGTTTTTTTTACTTCAGGTAAATTATATTTATGCATCATCTACAGAATTTTTGGTGTATTATTGTGGATAGGAACTGAAACATTTACTTACTGTATACTTAATGTATTGCAGGGGTGTGCCAAAGTATTGGTTTTGGCTTAATATTGAGTATAGGTATCGATGGGTATCTGTTAATTTTAATGATATCGGTATTATTGGGTATCAGCTAATTTACATGGTATTGGTATCAGCCTAAAATTGAATAATGGTACTGGTATCAGTATCAGCAAAAATTTTGGTATCATCCCATCCCTAATGTATTGCATGTGTTCTATATTCCTGTAGGTATAGAAATTGGACATGATAGCATATCAATCCAGCATGGACAAACTAGAGGTGTATTCTTGCTTCATTATAGCATTCATTATGTCTACATATCATGTAAGGGAAAGGATACTGGATGCAATTTTCAGTATGGTTTCAAAGCACAACTGAGATTATGATTGTAGAACTGTAGCTGAGGTTCCTGATTTAAAATTGCAGTCAGTTGTCAGCACTAGATGAAATGTATACTTTAGTATGATGATCGAACATGCTATTGTTGTAGGAATTGCAAAGTGGCTTGTAGAATTTGATGCATTTATAAAGTACTTATATGGTACTCTAGTGTGGACAGCATAATAATTTGTAAGCGAATGGTTAAGAAGCATGCAATTAGCACTATAGTGTTAAGAGCAAATAATTAGGACATTATATAGTACAGAGAGGTAACAGCTTTTTGATTGTGGCTGTGTATCACACATTACCATAATATAATGTAGCATACCGAGTGGTGGGAAACATTGAATACAGTTGTGTAAGAGGTAACAGTGACTGTGATTGTTAAAACAAGCATGTCATCTTGTGAGGAAAATGAATGGTAGGTGGCACTCTTGGCCTCCTGAGTTTGCCTGTCCCTGCACATCAAGACCTGTCTGTGATAATTGTGTGCTCACCTTAATACACCAACTGTTATGATACAATGTAACGTTATGAAATAATTCATAATTTACAATTTAATATTCAGTGAAGAACAGTGTCTTAGGTGTCATGTAATTACATGAGCCCCCCTCTATATTATAAATGGAAATTTATGAGTGGTGTTTATTTTGGTGAAGTGTATTAAGTTGTTATTTATTGTGACAATAAGATTGTGCCATCAATTGTACCTATGGAGGACTGGAATGTACAGAGCCAAGTCTTTCAGCACACGAGACACTGCTGCATTGGATCTCTCGTCAGCGACAACATTCTTTGATGGAGAAAGTTGCCTACTTCACTCACTTAGATTTTCCCATCTGATATTTTTCAGCTCTTAATAGTTTATACTGCTGTGAGGTCTTATTTATAAAGCATTCTTCAGCTTTCAAGCCTAAAGCCTTCATACCTGTAGTCTGCAGGATTAGCTGTGAATCTTTTAACTTCTTTAATATATTCAACCTCCTGATTATAGCAATAATAGGCACATTCCTATTGTCTTCACTTGTATTACTGTAGTTGTAATACTCTACCTGTACAATGAACATGTAAAATAGTAATATTTTTGAAGTTTTGCTGAAAGGTGAGGTTGAAAATACAGTAATATTGTAGCTTCATGTGAGCATAAGTTTTGACAAAAAATTTGCACAAGATTACATTTAATTGTTGACTAATAATCTATTTATAATTAAGGAAAGTGCTGTTAATAAGTGCTTTGCTTTTGTCATACCATCATTTTTTTTTATTTTTCATAAGTGAATAATAAAGAGAATCTTGCCTATACAGTGTATTGTATTATATACCAAACTAACCTTTAGTAATAGTCATTATCCAAGAAGCATGCTAAACAAAGCTAATCTCATTACCTAGGGGTAAACCTCATCATACTGTTTGAGTTTAGTGCTTTCTTGTGAATATAGTAATAATTTTTTAACTTGACAGCCATCCTGCCAAGGCAGGGTTACTCAAAGAAGAAAACAGATACCATTATTCACTCAATTGGTACCTTTCCAGAAGTGTGCTGACATCACAGATTACCTTTCAACTGCAACATCCCCACCCCTCCTCCTCCTCCTCCTCCTCCTCCTAAGGGCAGGCACTGCCCTCCCCACCTTGTCAGCAGATGGGTTTATGAAAGATGAGGTTAACCATAGAACTGATGAAGGAAAAAAGGCGAGTGGTATATTGAGGTATCTGTGGAAAAAAAAAAACGTTATTCATGGAGGCAAAAAAGGGAATGTACAAAAGTATAATGGTACCAACACTCTTATATGGGTGTGAAGCTTGGGTTATAAATGTTGTGGTGAGGAGGCGGCTGGGGGCAGTGGAGATGTCGTGTCTAAAGGCAATATGTGGTATATTATGCAGAGAATCTGGAGTGCGGAAATTAGGTGGTGGTGTGGAGTTACTAAAAGTATTAGTCAGAGAGCTGAAGATGGGTTGTTGAGGTGGTTTGGTCATTTAGAAAGAATGGAACAAAGTAGAATGACTTGGCGAGTGTATAAATCTGCAGGGGAAAGAAGGCGGGGTAGGGGTTGTCCTAGAAAAGGTTGGAGGGAGGGGGGTAAAGGAGGTTCTGTGGGCGAGGGGCTTGGACTTCCAGCAAGCATGCGTGAGTGTGTTAGACAGGAGTGAATGGAGTGTGAGCAGGGTAATATTTTGTGAAGGGATTCAGGGAAACCTGTTAGCCGAACTTGAGTCCTGGAAATGGGAAGTACAATGTTAGTACTTTAAAGGAGGGGTGTGGGATATTGGGAGTTTGGAGGGACTTCTAAACTGATCTGAGCTCCTCTGCAAAGACAGTGATTATGCATGAGTGATGGTAAAAGTATTGAATGATGATGAAAGTATTTTTTTTTCTTTCTTTTTAGGTCACCCTGTCTTGGTGGGAAATGGCCGATGTGTTAAAAAAAAAAACAGTAATAATTACCACATTAAAAGAAAACATTTTAAATGTGTTTTAATTTATTGGGTAATCATAAAATTTATTTTTCTGTACCTTCAAAAGGGAGGGAAGTGGTGCCATGCTACCAGTCAAGGGCTTTTGATCCAATGAATTTGAGCTACTCCCCTTTCTTGCATCAACATGATTACCTTGGACTATCATGTAGGCACTAATAAAAACCAGTGAAAATAATGAAAGATGACAAATTAATATATGATTCAACAAAATGTTTTCTCAACACAGGACAAAGAATTGTTGTGTTGTGGTAACACTTGCATATGCATACTAGGGACACTGAAATGTTACAATTTCTATAAAAAAATTACAGTATCAAAGTGCATTATTGAAATATTACATTAATGATTTAATTTATAGAATAAGTATTGTAGTACATGCACCAACTTCCTCGACCTAGACTCAAGCACATATACATGTATTTGTATGCTCAAAATTAAGCAACCCACATGCAGAAATTAATTTGTTGAATTAGATATCCAACCTATTTCTCTATCAGTTTATTTTTGTAGTCGAGTATTAAAACAGTACACTGTCACGTGATCCGTACAACATTACTTGCTACTGTTGTGATTACATATACAGCCAGCAGCTGAGTCACAGTGCTGTATGACCCTGGGGGGTTTAGTGTTTAATTTTGATTATAATAATAATAATATCAGTTGAGTCAGGTGTGATTATGTTATTTTTGAATTTCATTAAATCAAACTCATGGCCTCAAGCTTGGCATATAAATGATATATCTGTAGAGAAAAATATTAATTCTTAATTACTGTCATTAATCAAATATAATATGAAATCATTCTCTATGGGGAAGTGGAACAGAATTCTTCCTCCATAAATTATGCTTGTCATAAGAAGCAACTAAAATGCCAGGAGCAAGGGACTAGTAACTCCTTCTCCTGTATACATTACTAAATTTAAAGAGACATTTTCATTTTAGGCCACCCTGCCTTGGTGCGATGAGGCCAATTTGTTGAAAAAAAAAAAAATTATGCAATCATCACAAAGACTGATAAAAAAACTAAGAATTTTTAATATTTAATATTTAAGATTTCAAAATAAAAGCATCACAGGTTTCATTAGCTTAAATAATAATTATGGTTTCTAGAGAAAAATTCACATGAATAATAATGACTGGCCTCATATCGGTAAACTAAATAAGAGGCCTATTGTTCCGAGGGATCACACTGCAGTGCAACATTGCATACAGATGAGGATTGCCTTTGATTTATACTTTACACAGGTATTAATTGCTAATATATATTATTAGGTGAATTTTTAAATACATCATTACCTTTTAGTTATGCCTAACTAAAAATCCTGTGTGAAAAAGAGCAAAACCTATTTTATTAATTTAAAATACTGTACTCTAAAAAAGGCACACATTAACTTTAACTTAAGCCTTAAGCAGTATTAGTTTCTAAATGTCATTTATTAATGGATTGATAAAAAAAAAAATCATCGTAATAAAGTACGACAGGTATCATACTCTTGGCTGGTTAGGACAATATTTTTAACAATGATTAGATGCACAAAACTATTTTTGTAGATACTGTAACTTCTTGGATGAACCTGTCAATCTATTTGACACCTACAGTTCATCTACAGGGAAGGAAATGTACTGTTAGTTTCGATGCAGAAATATCTTGAACTGATAATTTTGATATAGCAGTAGTATTTATATACAGTACAGTAGCTGATCTTAACTCAAGACTAATGGAATATACATGAATAGTCTCAACCAAGAACTATTCATGATATGTTGGTCAAAGCTGCTAAAATAACAGAATCAAAAAAAGTTACACAGAACTGTAATTAAATAAGATCTCTAAAATGATAATCAAATACTCTGAAATCATTTTCATAAATCTTAATAAAGTCCTGTTGTTGTTTTTTAGAAAGAGTATCAAAATAAGGCTCAACATAAGCTGTAGTCTTGGATGGAATAACACTGGGGAAGTGAAGCGATGGTGGGGCTCCAACCCGCCTCAAGATGTATTCAGCATCCTCTGCTAGTGTTTCATATTTCCCGATAAACTGATATCTGTTAAAAGAGAAAAAGTGGTTTCATATTTAAATACTCTCAATCATACATTATTATTTAAATATTTGTGGGAGAGGCACTGTCAAGAAATTTTAATGAAAATAAGAAAAAATTTTGGAGTGAGTTAAACAAGTTAAGAAAGCCTAGGGAAAGTATGGATTTGTCAGTTAAAAACAGAGTAGGGGAGTTAGTAGATGGGGAGAGGGAGGTATTAGGTAGATGGCGAGAATATTTTGAGGAACTTTTAAATGTTGAGGAAGAAAGGGAGGCGGTAATTTCATGCACTGGCCAGGGAGGTATACCATCTTTTAGGAGTGAAGAAGAGCAGAATGTAAGTGTGGTGGAGATACGTGAGGCATTACGTAGAATGAAAGGGGGTAAAGCAGCTGGAACTGATGGGATCATGACAGAAATGTTAAAAGCAGGGGGGGATATAGTGTTGGAGTGGTTGGTACTTTTGTTTAATAAATGTATGAAAGAGGGGAAGGTACCTAGGGATTGGCGGAGAGCGTGTATAGTTCCTTTATATAAAGGGAAAGGGGACAAAAGAGATTGTAAAAATTATAGAGGAATAAGTTTACTGAGTATACCAGGAAAATTATACGGTAGAGTTATAATTGAAAGAATTAGAGGTAAGACAGAATGTAGAATTGCGGATGAGCAAGGAGGCTTCAGAGTGGGTAGGGGATGTGTAGATCAAGTGTTTACATTGAAGCATATATGTGAACAGTATTTAGATAAAGGTAGGGAAGTTTTTATTGCATTTATGGATTTAGAAAAGGCATATGATAGAGTGGATAGAGGAGCAATGTGGCAGATGTTGCAAGTTTATGGAATAGGTGGTAAGTTACTAAATGCTGTAAAGAGCTTTTATGAGGATAGTGAGGCTCAGGTTAGGGTGTGTAGAAGAGAGGGAGACTACTTCCCGGTAAAAGTAGGTCTTAGACAGGGATGTGTAATGTCACCATGGTTGTTTAATATATTTATAGATGGGGTTGTAAAAGAAGTAAATGCTAGGGTGTTCGGGAGAGGGGTGGGATTAAATTATGGGGAATCAAATTCAAAATGGGAATTGACACAGTTACTTTTTGCTGATGATACTGTGCTTATGGGAGATTCTAAAGAAAAATTGCAAAGGTTAGTGGATGAGTTTTGAGAATGTGTGTAAAGGTAGAAAGTTGAAAGTGAACATAGAAAAGAGTAAGGTGATGAGGGTATTAAATGATTTAGATAAAGAAAAATTGGATATCAAATTGGGGAGGAGGAGTATGGAAGAAGTGAATGTTTTCAGATACTTGGGAGTTGACGTGTCGGCGGATGGATTTATGAAGGATGAGGTTAATCATAGAATTGATGAGGGAAAAAAGGTGAGTGGTGCGTTGAGGTATATGTGCAGTCAAAAAACGTTATCTACGGAGGCAAAGAAGGGAATGTATGAAAGTATAGTAGTACCAACACTCTTATATGGATGTGAAGCTTGGGTGGTAAATGCAGCAGCGAGGAGACGGTTGGAGGCAGTGGAGATGTCCTGTCTAAGGGCAATGTGTGGTGTAAATATTATGCAGAAAATTCGGAGTGTGGAAATTAGGAGAAGGTGTGGAGTTAATAAAAGCATTAGTCAGAGGGCAGAAGAGGGGTTGTTGAGGTGGTTTGGTCATTTAGAGAGAATGGATCAAAGTAGAATGACATGGAAAGCACATAAATCTATAGGGGAAGGAAAGAGGGGTAGGGGTCGTCCTCGAAAGGGTTGGAAAGAGGGGGTAAAGGAGGTTTTGTGGGCGAGGGGCTTGGACTTCCAGCAAGCGTGCATGAGCGTGTTAGATAGGAGTGAATGGAGACGAATGATACTTGGGACCTGACGATCTGTTGGAGTGTGAGCAGGGTAATATTTAGTGAAGGGATTTAGGGAAACCGGTTATTTTCTTATAGTCGGACTTGAGTCCTGGAAATGGGAAGTACAATGCCTGCACTTTAAAGGAGGGGTTGGGGATATTGGCAGTTTGGAGGGGTATGTTGTGTATCTTTATATGCATATGCTTCTAAACTGTTGTATTCTGAGCACCTCTGCAAAAGCAGTGATAATGTGTGAGTGTGGTGAAACTGTTGAATGATGATGAAAGTATTTTCTTTTTGGGGATTTTCTTTCTTTTTTGGGTCACCCTGCCTTGGTGGGAGACGACCAACTTGTTGAGAGAAAAAAAAAAAAAAAAAAAAAAAAAAAATTGCAATCATGCACTGTTATTATATACAGCAAAGTGATCATTCTCATTTAGATACTTCTAGTGGCAGACCTACATTTTTGGGGCCCTGAAGCTTGAACTGTTATGAGGGCCTCTTCACAACCAGAGATGGCTAGCCTACATGCTACTCTAATAACCTTTTAATTTTTATTTTAACTATTATTTTGTACTGAATTACACTACAGTATCATTATTTTTTAAAAACCTCTTCTCATACAGTAGACCCAAAATTCTTAAGCACTGGACTAAAGTGGCTTCTGGAGCCCCTCCAGGATTAGGGGCCCTGAAGCTGTAGCTTCATAGTAGATTGGCCCCCTGTATACTTCTAATTTAAGTATTTAAATATTAGTTAGAAAGAAGTTTTTCTATACCTTATCACATACAAATGTGTCTACACTCTTATACATAAAAAGATCAATAATGTTCCTTACAAGGGTGTCTTGATACTGGTAAATGGTTTTTGAGCCAAAGAACTGGAGATACCCTGCCTTCATTTTATCAAACATGATTACCTTATACATATTCACTAGGAACTATATGACCCCAACATGATTTATCATCTTTCCATGAATATAATTACCTCCCATTTCCCAAGTGTCTCTGACCCTTATGGATTTAGGGCTTCTCTGTGACTATAATACTATAATAATAATAATAACAACAGCAAGCGTGCGTGAGCGTGTTAGATAGGAGTAAATGGAGACAAATGGTGTTTGGGACCTGACGAGCTGATGGAGTGTGAGCAGGGTAATATTTAGTGAAGGGATTCAGGGAAACCGGTTATTTTATATAACTGGACTTGAGTCCTGGAAATGGGAAGTACAATGCCTGCACTCTAAAGGAGGGGTTTGGGATATTGGCAGTTTGGAGGGATATATTGTGTATTTTTATATGTATATACTTATAAACTGTTGTATTCTGGGCACCTCTGCAAAAACAGTGATTATGTGTGAGTGAGGTGAAAGTGTTGAATGATGATGAAATTATTTTCTTTTTGGGGATTTTCTTTCTTTTTGGGTCACCCTGCCTCGGTGGGAGATGGCCGACTTGTTGGAGAAAAAAAAAAATTATAACATCAAACAATGATGCATGAAATACTTAGTCAAGAATAAATGAATTACTGGAAAGTTTTCAGTGGGTGTTCCCTGCACAAGAACCACGACTTCGCTACGTGTACAATACTACGGAACCAAAAGTCATATTCCTATTGCATAGATTTATTAGAAATGTTTGATCTAGTATGTATATACAGCACTCACCTGACTGAGCATGGATGGCAAATAGATGACATGGGAGCCCAGTGTTCGTTGAACTGATCAGGTTTGGTGTCTATTAAATAGGAAACAAACTCGGAAAACTTCACACCATGACCACTATCTGGAATGTCAGATGGATCATTGCCTTTCCGGTATTTCTTGATAATTTTGACACCAAAGCGCTTTTTGAAGTAAGAAGACGAAGTATAATTTTTTTCAAATTTGTTTCTGAATGCAGAAACAACTCTTTCAATTGGGTGACGGACAAAGAGAAACTTTGTATATGTGTGAAGACGATGACGAATGGCCCGAGGCTGAAAATGCATAATAAAAGATTAAAAAACAATACTTCTTATTTGGCACAATAAAAATTACCATCAAACTTAATACACAACAGCTATATGTTAAGAATATAATTAGATATGCTTTGATCATTGCCACAACTGAGAAAAATATCACCAGCCCCTCAATAAATGGGAAATGGGAAGTACAATGCCTGCACTTTAAAGGAGGGGTTTGGGATATTGGCAGTTTGGAGGGATATGTTGTGTATCTTTATATGTATATGCTTCTAAACTGTTGTATTCTGAGCACCTCTGCAAAAACAGTGATAATGTGTGAGTGTGATGAAAGTGTTGAATGATGATGAAAGTATTTTCTTTTTGGGGATTTTCTTTCTTTTTTGGGTCACCCTGCCTCGGTGAGAGACTGCCGACTTGTTGAAAAAAAAAAACAAAAAAAAAAACTAACTGATGTATGTGCTTAAGAGAGTTTAAAGGTTTTCCAGTATGATAAGAATAATAACCATAAAGTTATGGTGTCCCGTAGCTCGATCACTAACGCAATCAGCTCACACACTGAGGTCGGGAGATTGAATCTCCGGTACGGCTGGAAAACATTAGGACGTGTTTCCATAAGACACCTGCTGTCCATGTTCACCCATCAGTATAAAATGGGTACCTGGTTGTTAGTCGACTGGTGTGGGTCGCATCCTGGGACAAAACTGACCTAATTTGCCCGAAATGCTCAGCATAACAAGTGGCATGTACTTGTAGAAATAAAGATATTATTATTATATTATTATAACTGAGGTTTCTGGCATTATAAGTACAACAAAACAGTGTATATATGTGCAAAATCTGAGTCAGTAATGATTGCATGATGACTCAATTTTGACATCTCATAAGGCCAGTGGAAACCTGATGCCCTTGCTCTTGCCCTGAGGTTACCTGCTCCTTCACCTGACTTTGATCATATGACCTCCATTTGTATGCTTTCTGAAGAGGACTTGAGTCTGAGGCCAAACTACTCTACTCCACTTATCCTTTTACATTATATCCATTGGTGTTCACTTGTGCCACTGACAAGTATTTATTACTGTTCTGTGTTTCGATGAACACACATTTTGTTCTAAAATCTAGGCATACATATATTACAGTTGTTTCCTCCTGGTGATACATACTACTTTGAGAGTATTTTCACATAATCATTAGTCCATAGCAAAGTAATGTCTAAACTAAAGACACAGTCCACAGACCCTAACACTATCTTGCTGAAAAAATGCAAAAGTTTGTCTAAATGTTGGCTGAAATGAGAGTGAGGTAATAAAGTCTATTGCTGTGTAACTAAGGCCTAGGTTAAGATATAATAAGTTTGGGTTATGAGATTTAAGTTTTCCAGAAGCTTATTCAAACATCACCTGGATGCTAGTTATTAAATTAGATCCCTTCAAAGGAATTGGAGGTACTTTCCCCTTCCTTCGATCAAATGTGGTTACCTGCCATTCCAGTGGCATGAATGGTTCTTATGGATTTAGCAATTCCCTGTGAATGATAATTAAATCAGGTACAAAAGTCAGTGTGCAAATAATGCCAGGCCTTTGACTGACACAATTTTTAGGGGCAAATTTATGTAATTTATGTAATCAGGTTCCACTTCTAGTACAAATCATGAGAACTTATTACCTTGGAAAAATACTGCACGTATATGAAATGACTTATGAGGAAAAATCTTAAAATTCTTTCTAGAAGAATTTTTAGTACAGAGCACTTGGATACCTTAATGTGGTATATAATTATGAATCTTCATTATAATTTACCTCTAAATCTCCAAGTTTTGTGAACACATTCTTACGGTGAACACTGTCGGAGGGAATGGAATGTGGATCTGTAAAGTTTGTCCCACCCATCAGTATCAACATTATCCGCTTCCAGTTTGTACAAGCCACCTGGACACAAACATAATTATCAAAATATGCTTAGAATGTCTTAATCTATGTCATAAATATAAATACATTAAACATCTTTTTAATGAATTTGGAATACTGATATTTTTAAAGAATACATATAGTATACCCATTCTTCATTTATTTAGACTTCCTACAAGAAATTATTCACCACTCACTATAAACTAAGCATGAAAATATTTTAAGTAACATGAGTACTGTACAGTGGACCCCTGACTTACGAACAGCTCCCAACTCGAACAATTATGTAAGTGTATTTTCGTAAGTGCTTCTGTAAGTGTATTTTTAGGGGTCTGAAACGGACTAATCTAATTTACAATATTCCTTATGGGAGCAAATTCGTTTGGTAATGGCACCCGAACAGCCTTCTGGAACGACTTAATATCGTAAGTCGGGGTCCACCGTATATGGATTTTTTTTAGGCTTAGCTCTATTGCTCGCTTAATATATGATAGTGTAAACATGTAAACATGAAAGTGAAAATAAGACTTTCACTTTAGAGCGATTGTCACTTTACAGCAGTAGCCCGGAACCTAACCTGCTGTATAAGTGGGGCCCTCCTGTACACTGTATCATACATGAGAAATCAGATGGATCTGTGACTTTTAAAATAACTACCAACCTTAGGAACATAGCAGTATAAGACATGATTCTTGTCATCAACAATAAGGTTATTGAGCATTTTTGTGTTTGCAACTAATTCCTCCGTGATGGGATCTTCGACATCAGACAGTCCAGAACCAACAGTGTCTTGCCAGAAATCTGCGGGACATGCCTTCTTTGCGGCACTTTTTCGCTGTTTCATTTCATATCCCACATTAGATAGTGTGTCAATTTCTGCAGATGCTAAGAAACACAATTAGTTACAGTATTAACAGATATTATTCCAATCTAAACAAGCATTATTTGTAACTACTGTGTAGGCTAGAATAGCACACAATATATAAAGTTTAGTACAGTATATGCTATAAGACAAGTATAATGGAGTGATTCTCTTGAAAGGCACCTGAGCCAAAAGACTGGGGCTACTTTTCTTTGGATCAAACCTAATTACCTCCCAATCCCCAGGTTAGATCCATAAAAAACAAATCCAGTTCATAAAAACATAAGAATAACAGAACACTGTAACAGGCCTATTAGCCCATGCTAGGCAGGTCTAACTCACACCTTGGATCAAGAGCCACTCACTGGGGTCAAAGAACCTTCCTTACAGGAAGACATCAAGATAAAACAGGAAGCTCCTGCACCCAACATATTCTTGCAACATGTCTGGATTTTTTTTTTTAATTCTAGGGGCTACTATGCTCACAGGGCACAAGCTAAACCCGTACAGCACTAGGAAAATAAAATGTAATAAAATCTGATCTAAGGAACAGTAATGTAGAAAATGTCTTCCAAAGTACAGTAACATGTAGTATATATTTACAGTGGTAGTGCAGCACTGTATGACTCCCTGTGAGCTTAACACTTAGTTTTGACTGATGCAATAATCCAGCAGTAGTACTGGTTAGAACGTATCAATTTAGACAGGAAATACACGAGCCCATTTTAAGTGACATCTAAAACACAACAATTCTGAAGCGTCAATGAATTATTGATAAAGTGTTATTAGTAATTCATGATTTAATTTCAGCATGATACAAGTAAAAAATGTAATTTACAAAGAAATTAATAAAAACAGTAGAAGAGCAAGAAATCGTGGTGATAACAGTGACAATAACATACTAGTGATACTTTATTTCTTTCCATTTTTATAGTAATTAATTAATTATAATAAAGCTAGAAAGATCTGAAATCAGAGGAAATGAATAATTAAACAGTGATAAAGCAGAAGAATGTATCGAGTAAGTGCAAGACGCACAAATTAGTTAAAACGAATAAGAAAAAGGTGAACATAGGCTCCTGTCTAGCAGCACGGCCATGTGTCACCTACAGTATGTGTACCTGTGTCACCTACAGTATGTGTACCTGTGTCACCTATAGTATGTGTACCTGTGTCACCTATAGTATGTGTACCTGTGTCACCTACAGTATGTGTACCTGTGTCACCTACAGTATGTGTACCTGTGTCACCTATAGTATGTGTACCTGTGTCACCTACAGTATGTGTACCTGTGTCACCTACAGTATGTGTACCTGTGTCACCTACAGTATGTGTACCTGTGTCACATACAGTATGTGTACCTGTGTCACCTACAGTATGTGTACCTGTCACCTACAGTATGTGTACCTGTGTCACCTATAGTATGTGTACCTGTGTCACCTACAGTATGTGTACCTGTGTCACCTACAGTATGTGTACCTGTGTCACCTACAGTATGTGTACCTGAGTCACCTGCAGTATGTGTACCTGTGTCACCTACAGTATGTGTACCTGTGTCACCTATAGAATGTGTACCTGTGTCACCTACAGTATGTGTACCTGTGTCACCTACAGTATGTGTACCTGTGTCACCTACAGTATGTGTACCTGTGTCACCTACAGTATGTGTACCTGTGTCACCTACAGTATGTATACCTGTGTCACCTACAGTATGTGTACCTGTGTCACCTACAGTATGTGTACCTGTGTCACCTACAGTATGTGTACCTGTGTCAACTACAGTATGTGTACCTGAGTCACCTGCAGTATGTGTACCTGTGTCACCTACAGTATGTGTACCTGTGTCAACTACAGTATGTGTACCTGTGTCACCTACAGTATGTGTACCTGTGTCACCTACAGTATGTGTACCTGTGTCACCTATAGTATGTGTACCTGTGTCACCTACAGTATGTGTACCTGTGTCACCTACAGTATGTGTACCTGTGTCACCTACAGTATGTGTACCTGTGTCACCTACAGTATGTGTACCTGTGTCACCTACAGTATGTGTACCTGTGTCACCTACAGTATGTGTACCTGTGTCACCTATAGTATGTGTACCTATGTCACCTACAGTATGTGTACCTGTGTCACCTACAGTATGTGTACCTGTGTCACCTACAGTATGTGTACCTGTGTCACCTACAGTATGTGTACCTGTGTCACCTACAGTATGTGTACCTGTGTCACCTACAGTATGTGTACCTGTGTCACCTACAGTATGTGTACCTGTGTCACCTACAGTATGTGTACCTGTGTCACCTACAGTATGTGTACCTGTGTCACCTACAGTATGTGTACCTGTGTCACCTATAGTATGTGTACCTGTGTCACCTACAGTATGTGTACCTGTGTCACCTACAGTATGTGTACCTGTGTCACCTACAGTATATGTACCTGAGTCACCTGCAGTATGTGTACCTGTGTCACCTACAGTATGTGTACCTGTGTCACCTATAGAATGTGTACCTGTGTCACCTACAGTATGTGTACCTGTGTCACCTACAGTATGTGTACCTGTGTCACCTACAGTATGTGCACATGTGTCACCTACAGTATGTGCACCTGTGTCACCTACAGTATGTGTACCTGTGTCACCTATAGTATGTGTACCTGTGTCGCCTATAGAATATGTACCTGTGTCACCTACAGTATGTGTACCTGTGTCACCTACAGTATGTGTACCTGTGTCACCTACAGTATGTGTATCTGTGTCACCTACAGTATGTATACCTGTGTCACCTATAGTATGTGTACCTGTGCTACCTACAGTATGTGTACCTGTGTCACCTACAGTATGTGTGTGTACCTGTGTCACCTACAATATGTGTACCTGTGTCACCTACAGTATCTGTGTGTACCTGTGTCACCTACAGTATGTGTGTGTACCTGTGTCACCTACAGTATGTGTACCTGTGTCACCTACAGTATGTGTACCTGTGTCACCTACAGTATGTGTACCTGTGTCACCTACAGTATGTGTGCCTGTGTCACCTACAGTATGTGTACCAGTGTCATCTACAGTATGTGTACCAGTGTCACTATAGAATATGTACCTGTGTCACCTACAGTATGTGTACCTATGTCACAGCATGTGTACCAGTGTCATCTACAGTATGTGTACCTGTGTTACTATAGAATATGTACCTGTGTCACCTACAGTATGTGTACAAGTGTCACCTACAGTATGTGTACAAGTGTCACCTACAGTATGTGTACCAGTGTCACCTACAGTATGTGTACCAGTGTCATCTACAGTATGTGTACCAGTGTCATCTACAGTATGTGTACCTGTGTCACTATAGAATATGTACCTGTGTCTCCTATAGTATGTGTACCTGTGTCACCTACATTATGTATACTTGTGTCACAGCATGTGTATGAGTGTCACCTACAGTATGTGTACCTGTACTCACCTAGTTGTGGTTGCAGGGGTCAATTCACAGCTCCTGGCCCCACCTCTTCACTGGTCACTACTGGGTCACTCTTCCTGCTCCACGAGCTTTATCATACCTCTGGATCCTGCCTCCACTACATCACTTCCCAAACTATTCCACCTCCTGACAACTCTGTGACTGAAGAAATACTTCCTAACATCCCTGTGACTCATCTGAGTCTTTGGGGATCCAATTGTGACCTCTTGTTTCTGTGTCCCATCTCTGGAACAACCAGTCTCTGTCCACCTTATCTATTCCAAGCAGTATTTTGTATGTCGTTATTATGTTTCCCCTGACCCTCCTGTCCTCCAGTGTCGTCAGGCCGATTTCCCTTAACCTTTCTTCATAGGACATTTCCCTGAGCTCTGGAACTAACCTTGTCGCAAACCTTTGTACTTTCTCTAATTTCTTAACGTGCTTCCAAACAGGTTCCAAACAGGTGCTGCATACTCCAGTATGGGCCTAACGTACACGGTGTACAGTGTCTTGAATGATTCCTTACTAAGGTATCGGAACGCTATTCTCAGGTTTGCCAGGCGCCCGTATGCTGCAGCAGTTATCTAGTTGATGTGTGCTTCCAGAGACATGCTCGGTGTTATACTCACCCCAAGATCTTTCTCCTTGAGCGAGGTTTGCAGTCTTTGTCCATCTAGCCTATACCTGTGTCACAGCATGTGTACCTGTGTCACAGCATGTGTACCTGTGTCACAGCATGTGTATCTGTGCCACAGCATGTGTACCTGTGTCACAGCATGTGTACCTGTGTCACAGCATGTGTACCTGTGTCACATGTGTACCTGTGTCACATGTGTACCTGTGTCACAGCATGTGTACCTGTGTCACAGCATGTGTACCTGTGTCACAGCATGTGTACCTGTGTCACAGCATGTGTACCTGTGTCACCTACAGTATGTGTACCCTACTATCTCAACCTGTGGCAAAGCTTCCTGGGTTGTTGCTGTTGACAACCCGCTGTCTCACGCATCCATCACAACCTAGTTGATCTAGAACTTGGCAGTGACCCAGTGTCTCCTCTTAAAGACTTCTACTGTCAGTGGAAGTCTTCAAGAAGTAATCGTCAAGTTTCCTACTCGGGTTGAAAGTTCTCATTATGTTCCCTGTCATTTTCCTGTCTTGTGATACCAACTTTAAATATTACTGAACCTTACACGGAAAAAAGCAGTGAGGGCATTACTAAATTTAAGAGGCATGGCTGAAGGGAATAATCTGCAATATTATCCCCTTCCCATTTTTATTTGAAAGTCTACGTTCATGAAGTTTATTAATAGTATAGTAACTTGAATGAACGTTCACGGAGTATACCAGAAAGTACCGAGGTCCGGGGTTCGAATATCCTCCGGTACGGCTGGAAAACATTAGGGACGTGTTTCCATAAGACATCTACTGTCCGTTCACCCATCAGTTTAAAATAGGTACCTGGGTGTTAGTGGACTGGTGTGGGTCGCATCCTGGGACAAAACTGACCTAATTTGCCCGAAATGCTCAGCATAACAAGCGGCTTTCTATATTGTAGTATGTCATTGATGTCAGCTATGGTCTGTATAAGTTATATCATGTATTTGTAGTAAATAAAGATGTTATTATTATAAATAACCCGCACATAGGAGAGAGGAGCTTAGCACGACGTTTCTGTCCCACTTGAACCATTTACAAGTTACATAAGCTTCTCTCTCCTGTGTGCGGATTATTTGTGTATAATACGGGAATTCCTATGAACGACAGGTCTTCCTCTGTAAGTGAACAAAGATGAAGGAAATATATGGTGTTGGTACTTTATATTCAAGAGAGTGAAGGAGCCCTCAACTCTATTAGTGATTCACATGGAGCTCAAATCCACTGGATCAAAAACTTTGCCAGCATCAAGGAATCGAAGGAATTTAGCTACTCTCGGCATCCTTACAATAAATATTTTACCCTCACGTTATTACGAGATTATCAAAGTGTATTTGAGTACTTCCCCTTGATTTTAACAATATTAAAACGCATTACAGTCCATATAAGTAACATCTACTAATAAATAACAACAGAATATTCACTTGGGATGATACAATATCAATGTATCACAGTCCATATAAGTAACGTACTAATAAAAAAACTACTTGGAAAAGACCCAGGCCGGGAGAATACCGGCGAATAATAATAAAAAAAAATAATTACAGAATATTCACCTGGGATAATGGCAGAGTATGGTATCCTGGGATGATGGAGGGAGGAGGAGAGTATGAAGTGCCTGACGGAGGCGATGCAGGTGAACAATGCGAGAGCCATCAGTACCCACACTACCGCCCGCACCCGCCTCATCCTGACTCACACACCAACACTGAAACATAATAAGAACATAAGAAAGGAGGAACACTGCAGCAGGCCTGTTGGCCCATACTAGGCAGGTCCTTTACAATTCATCCCACTAACAAAACATTTGCCCAACCCAATTTGCAATGCCAGTTTTATCACTAATACAACACAATACTTACTTCATCAACCTAATGTTGTAGATGAATGGTTCAGAGAACCGACACATTGATAAATTTATCAACCTAATGTTATAAGTATATCGCCTAAGAGTATATATATATATATAATTCTGAGGATCAACGACCCCGTGGACCGGTCCATGGTCAGGCCTCCAGGTGAGCCAAGCCTGATAAACCAAGATGTTACTGATGGCTGTAGGCAGTACAACGTAGGAGCCACATCCCTGCTGGTCAAGAAATGAATTAGGGACCTATCCAGTTCCTCTTTGAAGACAGCCAGGGGTCAGTTTGTAATCTTCCTTATGTAAGATGGGAAGCTGTTGAATAGTCTGGGGCCCCTTGTTAGGTCAGCTCAGCTAAAATATTTTCCTATCTTATGACCTTCTGTGTCTCCTAGACAATGATAAACTCGCCCCTCTCTTATTTCTTAATCCCTTTGATACCAACGAAGAGCTCTCCTTGATCCATGGAACTATAGCTACCTACCCTCCCCTTCCTCGGATCAAACATGATTACCTTTCATTCCCAAGGCACGGTAGGGCCCCTACAGTTTAGTGCTGTCCCATAATAATAATAATAATAATAATAATAATAATAATAATAATAATAATAATAATAATAATAATAATAATAATAATAATAATAATAATAATAATAGAGGAAGGGGTAACGACCCCCTTGCTACCCCCTGTTGTAGCTAATTTCTCAGCAATAATAATATAATAATAATAATGATATTTATGAGCAAAATAACTCAACTTTCCTAAATGAGAATTTAGTTAATTAACCCTCACGTGTTTAGCGCATTTTTTTGCACAAAGGGTAAACAGAATTATAATTCACCGGCATTCTGTACCTAAGCAAAACTGAAAATATAAATCATATTATTATTATTATAATCAAAAAGAAGCGCTAAGCCACAAGGGCTATACAGTAATATAAATCATATTGATATTAAAGCCATATACTATACAGACCATAAAAAATATAAACAACCGTGCATTCTAGTATGATGTTGAGTGAGCCCGTGAAATACTAGCTGACTTTTTGAGTAGCTGACAGCTGTCATTTTCATCGTCTAGATTCATCCATGACAGCTGTGAGACACTGACAGCTGTGGAGTCCGTTGTAGTTTTGAATTATTTAATCAAACTGAATACACCCGCAGCGTGCGGAAATCAATCAATATTACACAGTTTGTATTAAAAAATTTTGCGAAAATCAGTGGTTTCCCAAAACTCAATATTTACCATTTGTAAACACAAAATCAACAAATTTAACATTATTTTTTTTAAGAATGGTGGTGAGGAACAGAAGGGAGAAATGGTGAGGGTGCACTATATTATTAATCATGAAGAAGCGCTAAACCCTAGGAATGAGTGGTAATCAGATTTGAATCTTGGATCAAGAGCCCTCCACCAGCATCAAGGGACCCCCCTTGAAGAGGGGGGTGTAAGTCAGAGAACTTTATATAAGGTACAGAGGGGAGAAAAGCTGGGTAATGTTACGCAGGGAAGTAAAAGGAGGACTGAGAAGGTATGGTATTAGGGCACACAGAGAGGAAATTGTACCCTCTGTTAGGGAGCAGCAACACTAAAAACCGCAGACGCAGCAGCAAGAGCAACAACAACAGACTGGTAACCTCAGCAATAGTAGCAGCAGCAGCAAAAAAGGCAGTTAGTACATCCCATTTACACGGAGTTCCTCCGGAGGTCACTGTCTCGGCGGCCAGGTCCCAGACTAGGCCGCCTTCTGGTTGCTAGCTTGAGTTAGTTTAATATGTTTATTATGCACCCCATACCCATTCTGTGGGCGGTAGTCAAAAGATTAGAGGTATATAATTGGTCCAGGGACTGGACTCTAAAGTTTTGATAGCTGAACAAGTTACAAAGGTAATGAACTAGATCTGGTCACAATCATGACAAGTTACAAAGGTAATGAATCATAAACACGTCCATACGTGGTTACAATCATGAACAAATTACAGAGTAATGAGCAGTTAACAAACATTGTAGGAAACTCATCCATTGCCCCAACAATAGATGTTGCTAGGTGCCTGTCCCTTCTCGGTAGGACAACCAGACAGCCATTGCAAACAGCAGCAGGTTGCGCCAGGATCTACTGCTTGCAGGAGCACCATCGACCCTCCCTAAGAGGTCCAAGAGGTCAGCGACTCCGCTTAGCATCCCGAGGGAGAGCTGCCCTGGGGACGTGTCAACGTCCTGGTGAACGTCAAGTTGATTGCAGATTCCAGGCCCTCTGTAAAGGTGAAGGTGCAGCAACTGTCATCTATGTCTGCTGGGAGGGGGCTGTTGGTAGTTCCCACCTGGAGCCCTCCGAGTGCCCAGACGTCCACCGTGCGCATGGATGTTGAAGCTTGAGGAACTGAGTGCACACTGCCTGTGGCAAACCTGACAAGTTGTTAGTGCCGCTGCACACAACCCAACCGGTTGATCAGGAACTGTTTTGAGGAATCCGTCGAGTTCCCTCTTGAAGACAGTTATAAGTTTGTTGGTAACCCCCCTTATGCATGAAGGGTGGGTTCTGAAGAGTCGTACTCCCCTAACACTTATCGAGTTCTCTCTCAATGTATTCATCGCTCCCTTGTCTACCAAGACACTTACGTTCTTTAGTAATTTCGGTGTTCAGGTTTGGGACTATTTCCTTCAATATCTCTCAGGTGTAGATTATGACGTATCCTTCCGGCTTACATTCTAAGGAGTACAGTTTTAGGGACTTGAAGCGCTTCCAGTAGTTTAGATGTTTGAATTTATACAAGCTGTAAAGGTTTTCTGTACATTTTCTAGCTTAGCAACATTGCCTGCCTTGAAGGGGGCCATTAATACACAGTAATATTCCATCCAACATAGAACGAGTAACCTGAAAAGTATCGCCATTGGCTTGCATCTCTTGTTTTTAAGGTGTCAGAGCTTATTGTTAGGGAAGTACTGAAAGTGGGTTGGGCAAATGTTCTTTTAGCAAGTTGGTATTGTAAAGGACCTGCCAAGTATGGGCCAACAGGCCTACTGCAGTGTTCCTCCTTTCTTATGTTCTTATAAACAAATATAACCGTGTGTATTAAGTGTAGTCAAGTCTCCAGCAGCAGCCTGACATGGGCACGTCTCCTTGCCTGACAAGGGCAAGCCTGTTCGTGCCGGCGTAGCTCCTCCCAGGCCGGATAGTGGGGATCAGGTCTCCTCGTAGTTCACAACGACGCAAAGCTATCGTATGACTCGACTGGATTTTTGCCTAGCAGGATTTTTTTGGGCAAAATTGGACACGTAAGCACTGCGCTGCTGCTCTATTCGATATGACAGTTATATAGTGGGAACAAAAGCTAGCTATGTTCTCTATATTCCGTCACACTTAATGGATTTCAATGGTCCAAGTCGGACCGAAAGGTACTCATTATCCTATGTGCGTGTTATTTTTGTGTATTTTTCCAGTCATGATACTGTGCCTTTTTATACTTGTCAAGAAGAATTTAGCAGCTGCGGGAACTTTAAAAGTTTCGTTCTAGCACAGCTGAAGTTACTGTTACTTAGGAATTACCATCTCTAAGGATGATTTATTCCATACACAGGAGAGATTTTTTTTTTACGGCGATGTCTTCATCACTGAGTGCGGCAACAAAAATATGGGAGAAAAAAGAAAAAGGGAGGGGGGCGGAAGAGAAATTTGAATTATATTATATATCTAAATTCGTAGCAAAATGGTTCAACATGTAAACTATGCAGATTCACTGTCGCAATACCCATAGTCTTTCTACATTTTAAAACTACATTATTACCTGGAGTTTACCTGGATAGAGTTCCGGGGGTCAACGCCCCCGTGGCCCGGTCTGTGACCAGACCTCCTGGTGGATCAGAGCCTGATCAACCAGGCTGTTACTGCTGGCTGCACGCAATACAACGTAAGAGCCACAGCCCGGCTGGTCAGGTACCGACTTTAGATGCTTGTCAAGTGTCAGAACCTTCACGGCACGCATAACGGAGATAAAACACCTTAATTACTGGGAGCGCTTGAAGTTCCTGAACCTGTAATCCCTGGAACGCAGGCGGGAGAGATACATGATTATATACACCTGGAAAATCCTAGAGGGACTAGTACCGAACTTGCACACGAAAATCACTCACAACGAAAGCAAAAGACTTGGCAGACGATGCAACATCCCCCCAATGAAAAGCAGGGGTTACCTGGAGGTTATTCCGGGGATCAACACCCCCGCGGCCCGGTCCATGACCAGGCCTCCCGATGGATCAGGGCCTGATCAACTAGGCTGTTACTGCTGGCCGCACGCAGTCCAACGTACGAGCCACAGCCCGGCTGATCCGGCACTGACTTTAGGTATCTGTCCAGCTCTCTCTTGAAGGCAGCCAGGGGTATATTGGCAATTCCCCTAATGCTTGATGGGAGGCTGTTGAACAGTTTTGGGCCCCGGACACTTATGGTGTTTTCCCTTAGTGTACCAATGGCGCCCCTACTTTTCATTGGGGGCATTTTGCATCGCCTGCCCAGTCTTTTACTTTCGTAGGGAGTGATTTCTGTGTGCAGATTTGGGACCATTCCTTCCAAGATTTTCCAAGTGTAGATTATGATATATCTCTCCCTCCTGCGTTCCAACGAGTACAAGTCAAGTGCTTCCAAGCGTTCCCAGTAGTTAAGGTGTCACTAGCACGTTAAGAGACAATACAATAAGTGTCAGGGGCCCGAGACTGTTCAACTGCCTCCCAGCATACATAAGGGGGATTACCAGTAGACCCCTAGCAATCTTCAAGCTGGCACTGGACAAGCACCTAAAGTCAGCTTTTAACATAGTGAGCTTTTGTTCTCATTAATTATCGTG